CCGGTGAGATTTGAACCGCCGAACTGCAGAACTACAGTCAGCTGAAGTGGCCTGCAGTGCTGCATTTAACCACTGCGCCACCTCAGCTCTAGACGTTGGAAAAGAAAAGAAAAACTCTTTCTAGAAAGCGGGCTGATGTTAAACTCACCGCATGTTTTAATTGAGCAGAACTCCCAGGGGGTGTTTGGGTCTAGAGTGTAACACCATGGCCTCGGTTTACCATCCGGATTGCGGCAATAGTTGTCATCAAAGCCTTTGTCGGGGTATCTGAGAACCACATCAACAAGCAGGTTAACTGGGACAGCTGCCAGGAGAAGACAAGCAGATGCAAGAGACATTCCCACCCCCCCCCAATGACTCCAACCCAGAGTAGATACATTCCTTCCCAATGATCCCCCCAACCCAAATAGAAATAGATATATTCCCCCCCCACCAATGACCCCCAACCCATAGAAGGTTCCAATTACGTGAGCTTCTGAATGACCAGGGAGACAGGAGGTTTATGGCCACGGAAGAGATCCCTCAGCAGAAATCCTATCTTGACTGAAGACCTCTTTCGATAGGCTGTAGGCCAACTCAGAGGCGAGGTCAATCTGCTAATTGGGTCATTTCTCCCCATTAGGGTCCCTCCTGACACAATGCCCTTAATTGGCTTCCTTCTGCTTGCCCAATTAAGCGTGAGCAATGTAAACATTTCATGGGATGGCAGACTCTTCAAACAAAAGAGATTCTTTCGTTCAACAGCCCCGGGTTCAAAAGCTATTTTCAACAAACCAGGTTCTATTTTTAGGAGCCAACGGACTTGGAGGTCGTGCCCTCATTTCCAGTCACTGTAGGGAGCAAGTCAAGAAAAAATTAAATTTCCCTTTGCCTGCCTGTATCTTGTCAGGGTCAATATTTTTTTTTTGCTCCCTGGTTCTAATTACTCTCAATTCCTACTTTTTCCTACTCAAGGAACTCAAGAGGTAGCAGATTTACAAGACAACGGCAAGCTTCTTGTATGAATAGCTTCCCATTATTCATTTAGAAATCCTTGTTTGTTGGTTTTAAAGTTATTATTGCTAAGTCCCCTGGCAGGGGAAGGGTAGATTAAATCCAGAGGAAGACACAACACAACTATCTTTGACTGGAGGGCTTGAAGGATTTCTACAGATGTGGCCCTCCAAGGAAGATTAAAACCTAATTTAGCACTGACAATTTTCTTTTTATGTTCAAGGGTCTCTATTGGAAACCTACGGTGTATTTGAACCCTGAAGAATTCTGTTCCTTTTAAGAGATGAGGCTCGGCATAATTATTTTTCCTTGTAACTAAACCAGGAGGAGATGGCTTCCTCTGTTTGGAATTCTGTAGGTCTTATTATGGGAGGTCTTAGAAACTTCCATCCCTGGAAGTTTCTAAGAGATTCGATAGCCATTTGTCTGGAATNTCTATCATCTATCTATCAGCTGTCTATAATGTAAAGATAAAAGTTCTCATCTCCGTTTCAAAGCCAAAGAGCCAGCGCTGTCCGAAGACATCTCCATTGTCATGTGACCAGCATGACTAAACATCAAAGTTGCATGGAACATTGTTTCCTTCCCACCAATGTTGGTCCCTATTTTTCTACTTGCATTTTTTACGTGCTTTCGAACTGCTCGGTTGGCAGAAGCTGGGACAAGTAACAAGAGCTCACTCCGTTATGTGGTGCTGGGGATTCGAACCGCCAAACTGCTGACATTTCTGATCGACAAACTCAACATCTTAGCCACTGAGCCACTGCTTCCCTATTTATAATAGATTGCATTATATAAGTAGATTGTGTTATAATGGATTGTATTATAAAAATAGATATAATATTTATGATAGATTGTTCACAATCTATTCACAAGGACTCTTACAGCTGCATAAGGAAATAACATTAAAAGAGGGGGGGAAACATACAGGTAACGGCAGGATCACTGTATAAAAACACATGCTAAAACTCATATGTATCGCATTAAAAGTGGCTTTTAGTTTGATCGGTTATCGTTTAGAAGTTACACATCGTATCTAGACATCTTATAAAGGCAACAGATGTTCGTATTCCCAAGAGAATTCTTCCAACTTCGCTTTACATGTTAACGGCTAGCATTAAAATAACACCTGCTAGACAAGGCACGTAACAATTGCTTTTCAGAATGTTTTTTTTTGCTACTTCCATAACTCGTTGATAGACGGGATGGGAAAATTCAACATTTGCAGGACAGATGCAAAGCCAAATCAGAGATCCGGCATACCGGTTTGTTCTATTTGAACCGAATAACAGAGTGGGAAGGGGCCTTGGAGGTCTTCTAGTCCAACCCCTCCTCCTTGCTCAAGCAGGAGGTTCTGTGCCAGGTGGCGTCAAACTCGATTTAATTGAGGGCTGCATCAGGGTTGTGTTTTACCTTGGGGGGGGGAGGGGGGAAGGGCATTGCCAGCTCGATGTCACTCAAGTTGGGGGCACCCAAGGAGATGGTTGACATAGCAATAGCAATAGCAGTTAGACTTATATACCGCTTCATAGGGCTTTCAGCCCTCTCTAAG